CCCCAAAACCCCAAAACCCCAAAACCCCAATATATAATTTAAAAATTGAAGGATTTTCTTAAAAGTCTGGGCTATCTAATTCATAAGGGCTATAACTTCTTCGTCTCAAAAGTTCAACTAGAGTTTGTGTCACTACCTTGACTCCAACATTTCATATCGGGCGACCAACATCTATCTCTGCTATGCACATCTTTAGAATTATCCTAGAGAGTCAAACCTTTGGAGTACCTTGATAAACAGCTTATTTTTGTTAGATGTTGTCACTTTTATCTTAAACATTCTAGGGGGCTTCTTATGTGGCTTAGAAGCATTCCTACTATTTATTCTTAGCTGACTTACTTTTTATGAGACTTTCGAGGCTATGTATTACATTAGAAAAGGTACCTTTTCGATAACTCCTTGAGAAGTAAGGTGCATTTGGAGATCATTGTTGAGTTTTTGGCTATTCTTCCATCTAACCTTTGGGAATTTTCCATCCATATTATTCAAGTACTGCCCCAGGGACTGAGGTTTTACCAAATCTCTGTCCGAAGCTTGACACTGAGATCTTTTCAGATGATGATTGATAGAAAAAGAGCAGTTGCGATCCAGTGGTGCAAAAGTAAGGATTGGTGTCATTAGTTCTAAATATAATCCCGTTTAACTACTTTCTTCCATTTTGACATTTCTTGGTTTCCCATTTTTATAATTCATAGAAGGAGATTGCAAGCTTGTAGTAGGATTTGCAGTATTTTTCTAGCTATCAACCACCTTTACTTACACTTTTAACATTTGAACCATGAATAATCTTCCCTGAATTCTTTGGGTGAAGGTTGCTTTCTGTGTGAAAACTTTCGGTAAAGTTCTTATCAGAAGATTTTCAGAAATTATATAGAGTCATATTTCTGTTATCCCTATTCTCAGTTGAAATACTCTTCTGCCTAGGATTAGTGCCGAGTCGGATATTTGGGTTATTCTTTAACTGAGTGTTTACTATATGGTTAATCTTAGTTTTTACAAATTCTCTCAAGGCATTGCTTTCTTTGCTGGACAGATTTGAACTTCATCTCCTTCTTACCGATGGGTTTATAATTATTACCCCTGTTTTTGTATAATTTGCTGCTTTTCAAAATCTTAGAATCCATTTTAAGACCTAATTTATTCATTATCTGTTGATTTGGGATTATTTTATCTCTTTCTTGTGATAGATAGCTGAAAATTATCATCATATTTACTCGTTCAAACGGGAAGATAGCTTATTTTTAGGAATAAACTCTTCAAGCTTGACTCCATCATTTTTGGCTATCTGGGTCACGTTTAGGAACACATTTGTGGCATGAACGCTAGCAATAAGAAATGAGGCCAATACCTGTTGCAGTTGGATTCAAAATCTTTATGCATCTTCGGGTTATTTCAGCTTGATGAGGTTGTTCAGTTCTAATATGTTTATCAAAATACTCTACCATGTGAAAACGTTATATGCCTGTTATTTAGTCCTTGCTTTTGGCGATATAATATAATCTTGTCCATCTAAGAAAAGCCTGAAATTCTTCAGCTTCGTGTTTAATTCTTGCATATTTTTGGGAACTTGTCCATCAATTTCAGTCTTTGAATAAATTTTCCTATATGATTAGAATAGTTAATTCGATTAGAGGCTTCAGAAGTAATTTGGGAATACTCAATCATCACGCCAATGAGACTAAAATTTCATTGTACTGGAATCATAATAAGGCATTTTAAATTATCAGAAATGACCGAGCCATTCTATTTACCTTAAATTCTGATTCTCAAGGCTAAATTTCGAAGGTTTATCACTATTGTAGTGATCACTCATCCTGTCTGGAACATTAGTTATCAAAGCATTTGAATAATCAACATTTGGTATGGTTGTCTCTTGACCTTTAAGAGTAATAATTTTCTTAGCAATCCTCTGATTACCTAAGATATTCCTTCTCTTTTATAGTCTCTAGCCATTGATAAGAATTCAGAAGGCTGGGTTAGAGTAACTTTTGGTGATTTATACCTCCTATTGTTCATTTTTAATCTTTTACTATTATTTTCTATAAAAGCTATCCCATGAGGGGTTTTGGGGTTTTGGGGTTTTGGGGTTTTGGGG